CCAGTTGTCACGACAAACAAAACCTGCACTAAAACCATGCGGAAACTCGCGTAATATTTTATTGCAACTGCCTCAGTCTTGGCTCACCTTCCGTGGAGTGTTTGAAACACAGACAGGTAATTGGGCACTGGCAGCTGCCCCCCAGTGGCACAGCGGACTTACAACGCTAGAATCCGGGTTTCGATACCCGTGGTGGGCAGAGCACAGATGGCCCATTGTGTAGCTTTGTCTTAATTACAAACAAACATTGGCAGCTAATGAAGGAAAAGCAAGAATCATCCATGGTGTCACTGCTGTAAATCTTAAATAATATCTGTGTGGATAAGAAGATCTAATTGGAAAAGTGGCTGAATGTACTGTTAGTATAAAACGAACTAAGGAAATTTTTTAAAAGCATATTAGAAAACTCACTGTAAGAGCCAAATTATATATTTTTTAAAAGAAATGGTATTTAAATATTATTTTGTTTTTTAAGACAAGAGTTCCATTTAGCCTCAGTTTGGGTTTTTATTTTTGTTTTAACAATAGGTTTGTTCACCATTAAGACATAAAGAAATAAAATCGTAAAAATATAACTCGAGGAAGTTATTGTCGAAAAGATGTTGTTCGATTTGTTGCATAAAGAAAGGATTTCCATGCATGTGACTGCGATGGATGTCAGTAAATAAACTTACTATTCTTTGTTGAACTTTGGAAAGTCTTACGCCTGGAATTATGTATACGTAATATCAACAAAGTGGAACGAATATGTGAAGTACAATTATAGCATGAATCGAAAAGCATATGCAACTAGGAACTCAGACAAGCTAAGAATTTAAGAAATTGGGGAAATGTTTTAGTACTAAAACTAAACAGTTAACAAACTCTTACACTCACAGATGTTACAACTCTTAATGATACTAATGTAAGAGTTAGTAAAGCAACAGCAGATGTTTGTTTTCGATTTTGGTGTCGTTTAGCTAGCTGTTTTATTAAAGAAAATGTAGTACATTAATATCCCTGATATCCCCCAAAAGGACCTTTTATTTATTTGATTTTTTTTGTTTTCGTTTCTGTACAAAAATTGTAGGTTTAAGTGGCAATGTGTTCTTTAATTATTATTTTTTACCTGCATGTATAATTATTATAGTTAAATAAATTTACTCGATATAATTAAATATCATTTTTTTCACTTTATTAAATTTTAAAGGGGTTCAACGTGGAAACTGTGGTTAATATTTATAAGTTACAGATTATGACAACAGAAATGTATAAATAATTGGTTACATTTTATATATATATATCATAGCACTTTTACTGGGCAACCAAAATAGTGTTAATTGGACTAAAAGTAAGCCATCTCAGAAATTAAATATGTATCTTTGGTATACAGAAGTTTATAGCAATGTAAAAAAAGTGTACATAAGGCATTTTTTTCTCAAGTGTTCATTGGATTGTTTTTGATAAGATAAGCTTATAATCACAGCCATAAATATCAGACTATAACCATCATTTTGAAAATCATTAAACATATTAGATAATTGTGTCAAAACTTTCTTTCTATTCCAGTTCTTATTTTACAAGATGTTCACTTCTTTCACGAGAAAGCATTATTTAACATGGATAGCAATATCTTAACTTCAAACAGAGTCTGTAAAAGTATTTAAAAGAAGTGTCTCGCTAGATTTGTATTCTTCCTGTTGTTGTTCTTCTTCTTTTTAATTATCTTATTATTACTACTATTATTTCATTCATTTTTACACGCCTACATGTAAAGTAAGAATCCATATTTCTAAGGTGATTTAGAAGAGGTGTTAAGGGGTTTACTGTGGTATCTGAGTTTGGTATTTTTGCTGTCATGTTTATTGTAGGAGAAGATTCAGCAGCAATGCCACAGAGGAAGAGAGAGAATGTGCAGGCAGAGAGGCTAGTGATGAGGAGCGAGAAGTATCGGCTGAACATTAACAGTTGCACAACACAGAGGCAGAAGCCATAAAGTTAAGAGGGTAAAAAAGAGATGACCTTGAAAATACCTCACATCAGCCAAACCCAAGGTTCATTAGAGACTAAAAATTGACAAATAAGAATATCCAATTTTCAGAAAAAATGGTTCAAAAAATAATTCCTGGCTTAACTACAACCATTGGTTGAAAGGAGTGCTATGCTTTTATTGCACAAAAGCTTTCAGAAGCAAAATGTCACTACTCGCCAAAATTACAGACCCTGTGTTTGTCTTCTCAAGATTTAGAAATTGGAAAAAAAAAGCCCTAGAGTGGTTTGCAAAGCACGCTAATTTTCAGTTCCACAAGGTAGTGGTGACAACTCATGTTCAGCAGGCAAGGCCAGTAGACACCAGGTTTTCTAGCTCTTTGGTGTCATAGCATCAGGATGCAAAATGTTGCTTGTTCATTACCTATTTATCACAGCCCGTAGAGGTCTTCTTTTTTTATATATCTGCCAATTCTGTTAGTCATCTAGTAAATTTGGAAACTTTCGTAAACTCTGCAATTGTGATAAAAGCAAAATGTACTTTATATGTATATGGAAGCACAAGTAATTCTTTTCATGTACGATATAAAGTGAAAAACAAGTCGATACTTCATGTATAGAGAGTACCTGTCCTATAGCAACTGTTTGAGCTCTGTAACTCGTAACAGAAAGAGTTGAAGTTGGGCTCTATAAGCCATAACTTACCAGAAGTCGGAAGGGAGTTGAAATCACCACATAATAACAAAGGAATTGTGTTGACATCTGATGCTTGCTCACTGTTATGGTTGCTTAGAGTGGCATCTTGGGCAATCCGTCTCAGCTCGTGCATTAGCATCATGGTCTGGATAAGTTTTACATCAGAGTATTCTGGATCCCAATGCATGTGGGTAGTACAGACCAAGAGTGGTTGGTGAAGGTGGGAGTGGTCGGTGTCACCTAATATTTAAATATTTATATATATATATATGCAAAAGAAAATGTAAAAGAAAAAAAAGCGAAAAAGGAGCCATTTTTTAAGCGAGAGTTTCAAAACAATAATTTCAAAGATGATAAAAAGCACATGCTTTCTAAGTCTGATTTAAGTCTGGAAACTGTAAAACAAAAGCTTAATGCCAAAAGTATTTGCTGTCAAACTAAAGATTTTAATTTCAAAAATGATTTATTTTAAAGTAATTGCTATGAATATTGAAATTTAGAGAGCAAAGGTTTACATACTGCTCCAAATTTTTATGGGTATATTCGTCGCTGTTTATATTATTGAGAAGCATTTTTAATATTAAAACAATTCTGTTTCTCCCTAATGTATGGAAAAATCTATTTCTTTTCAAGAGGTTATATTTTTTGTCATTACTATACTTTAAAATACTTCGTAATTGTATGATAACCGTTTAGGCCATAATAACAATATTTAGTCCCACATACATGAACGAGTTCATGCGCAATGCGTTATCTTTTTCAGTTTCTTTAATTTATGTTTTGAAAATATATCAAGAGATGCTGCTCTCTCTCAACTTCGTTGATTATTTTTAAATATCATAATACACTATTGCCCGGGAATAATATATGCTGTTTTTTTGTTGTTTTTGATTTAGTGTACTCTAGTATATTACCATGAAAATTAAACGAAGACAAACTGAGAAACATGTATCCAATAATTATCTTGTGCAAATGGTAACATTCTCTCTCTCCTCCCCCACCCCAACCCGCCTAAAACGTGTAAATGTTATATCTTACTTAGTAAACTAAAATTGTTTCTTCCTATCGACTATGTGGGTCGCGGGTTCGAATCCCCGTCCCACCAAACGTGCTCGCCTTTTCAGCCGTGGGGGCGTTATAATGTGACAGTCAATCCCACTATTCGTTGGTAAAAACGTAGCCCAAAAGTTGGCGATGGATAGTGATGACTAGCTGTCTTCCCTCTCGTCTTAGACTGCTAAATTAGAGACAGCTAGCGCAGATAGCCCTCGTGTAGCTTTGCGCGAAATTCAAAACAAACAAACAAACTTTTCGATTAAATACATTGCAGGACACAATCGCGATTGGACATATGCTCCCTCTTTAGAAAAATATAAATAAAAAGAGAAGGTGAGAAAAAGTGTGTTGATTTTATTATCTTCAACATTTCATCAAAGTCATAGTCATATTTTGTATACGTAGGTCAGTTATATATAATTAAAAAATAAAAATTAAATTTTTGTTTTAGGATAATTTGAGCGCCACCCGAACAAGATTTGTTTTCTCTATTTAGTTTTATTTAATTATTCATTTAGTTAATATGACGTATTGCTTCTTATATGATACTGATAAGAGTTTATAAAATAAAGTTGAATAATAGAAGTTTCTCATTTAATGTATTCATTGTGACATTATTGTTTATTTTTTTTGTTATTCGGTGGAAAATGTTATAGCTAGTTCACCAATAAGTAAATGAGTTTATTAAAAAGGAATGTAACAAGAAAAATATTTTTAAGTGCTCCCTCCGGCAAAATCCTAGATCTGCCAATCCATATCATACAGACATGTTCATAAGCGTCGGAAGCAAAATATGTGTGAGTGGGAAGTCAAGGTTGGAAATGAATTAAGTATGTTTACCTAGAAAATCCTTATAAGTAGATTGGAAATTCGTACCTATTTCGATGTGGTGGGGCCAAAACATTATGGAAATAACAAGAATTAAAAACATAAGCGAAATCAGTGTGAAAATATGCAGTTTAATGACTATCTTACACCAGTTTCTACCTTAATATCTTATTGTTATCTTTCGACTCATTTTCAGAATTTGTAGCAAGTAAAGGAGTCAATATTTTGACCAAAAATCAATTCAATATGGCCAATTTATAAGCCTATCGAATCTTATGGGGAGATGGAGGAAAATGGGTGGTGGTCTCCTATTCTAACGCCCATGAAGTTTCACATAATCTTATTTGGGTTGTCACTCTGAAGTAAAGCACATTGTTTTACACGTTGGCTGCCATGTGACCCACCGGAGGATCACGTGGCACTATTAGTAATGTGTCCGTGACCTTCCAGTGGTTCACAGACCATAATATTGCAAAAATAAAGTTTCTTTGTGGCTTTGACTCTAGGATATTGTGAGTTTTTGGCACTTCAGGAATTAGGCATTATACTGTGGATTAATATACTATAAGGCGGCGGCCAACGTCTTAAAGTGCTCTAAATTGCTCACGAACCACTGATAGACTTATAGCATGGAAACCGAATAATCGCAACAGACTGTTGCTAACTGGTTACAAGCACCCAAATTGTCCTTAGCAGAGTATGGAATTAATTCCAAACCAACAGACCTAGAGAAAGCAGACCATCATCCACAACGTTAACAGACGCACCATATCAGTCTCTTTTGGCTTGTCGTAAAAGTTTTTGTTTGTTTATGAATTTCGCGCAAAGCTACTCGAGGATTATCTGCGCTAGCCCTCTCTAATTTTGGAATTATAGACTAAAGCAGCTAGCTAACACCACCCACCTCCAACACTTGGGCTACTCTTTTACCAACGAATAGCGGGATTGACGTCACTTTTAATGCCCCTTTGATTAAAAGAGCGAGCATGTACGGTGGCGGGATCATCTTAAGAGTGACTATATAGACGTTAGTAGCCACAACTGGACGCCATGTGAGTCTACAGGCAGCTATAAACAGACTGCATAAAGCCCGATTGTATGTTAGACTATTAATACTATGAATTTTTCTCACATTAAGGAGCAAAACAGCTATCCTACAACCTTGACTGGTGGATACGTGGAGTGGAGCTGCATTTTTTTTTCCTTAATGAGTTGTGCTTCATCTTGCATCCAGTTCATTTTCATACAGAAGTGCAATAAGGGCAGGAATAAAACGTTAGTGGACGTATATTGACCGAACGGAATAGGTAGCCCTATCATCAGATTTCAAGCGCATCAACTATATGTGTAATGCTCTTGGTAGTCGCTATTGCATCCCGTCAAGTGACTCTAAAGATGTCTAGGAAACAGTTCTTTAAAGAAGTAAAAATAAGCAACCATCTTTACTTTTGCAACGCTCCCTATTTTTCAACATCTGATCTTTATTTATCTAACGATCAGTTACCCCAGCGCCTGGCGTGGCCAGGTGGTTAGGGCACTCGATTCGTAATTTGCGGGTCGCGGGTTCGAATCCCCGTTCCACCAAACATGCTCGCCCTTTCAGCCGTGGGGGCGTTATAATGTTACGGTCAATCCCACTATTCGTTGGTAAAAGAGTAGCCCAAGAGTTGGCGGTGGGTGGTGATGACTACCTGCCTTCCCTCTAGTCTTACACTGCAAAATTAGGGGCGGCTAGCGCAGATAGCCTTCGAGTAGCTTTGCACGAAATTAAAAAAAACAAAACAAACTGTCTTTGTAAGATATTCTCAGCATTTTTCTGAACATCCACATTTCAAATGCATCGATCTTTTCCTCCATATTTTTGTTGATTGTCCACGTTTCACCAGCACATATAAAAGTAGACAGTACATAGCATCTAGCTAGTTTCTCTGCGTTTCGACGTTAATGGTTTTTGCTGCCAAGACATCTCTCATTTAGCAAAAGGTATTTCTTGCTATTTCTATTCGTCTTCTTATCTCTGTGCCACACTTACCATCCCCCATAATGATTTGACTTAGATATGTGAACCTCATCATCTGTTCCAGATAGAACCCATCAACCCTCTAGTCTTACATTGCTAAATTAGGGACGGCTAGCGCAGATAGCCCTCGTGTAGCTTTGCGCGAAATTTAAAACAAACAAACAAACAGTTACCCCAAAATAATGCATTAAACTGCAAGGAAGCATATCTGGAAACATTCTTTAGAAGAACAATAATTGTTCTCAACTTTATATCCATTCCTTTATGTTTGTTTTATTTTTTGCCAGAAGTTAACATTTTATTTCAATATAATAGTTATGTGAATATGAATTTAGTATTATTAGATTTATTCATTGTGCAATAACAGGTTATTTAGTAGTCACAAAAGAAGATACTAGGCGTTTAGTTTATATAGAATTGATTTACATTTATACATACAATTTGATATTGGCCCTGCTTTTGGTTGGAGTAGAACAACCAATCCAATGTTATCTTTTGTTTGAACCCTGTTGAGCATATCATCGGAGCCTTCTGCTGTTGCCAGAGCAACCTGGTTGAATTCCACTAAAGTTTCTTTTATTAGAGAAAATCTAGAAATAAAACCAGTATATGTTTTATCACACTTTTTCCGTAAATGATTAGAAGATAAAAATAAAATAAAATTTAGGTTTTTTTATGTAAAATTGCGTTGAAAAATCTAGAGATGTGTAAAGTAAAAAAAAAATATTTTGGCAGTTTTCCTCAGGTATATCTCTTAACTTGAATTTTTTTTAAACATCTTGATAATGAGTTATCTTTGAAACTTCTTATGAGCTTTCGGGTGACAAGTTGTGTTATACAGATTTCTTATTACTTACTTGTTTGTTCGAAAGAATATAGCACAACCATCCACGCGTTTTCTTTCGTTGTCAAAAACTATCTTGGCTCTGGACTTGGGGGAAAAAACTCCTTCATATCCATCTCTTCTTAGTTCGGGTAAGAAGAACCCGTAGAATTGACCAGTCTCTACTTCCTTTACACATAAAAAATAGTAATAATTTTTTTTCAAAATTAAAGTTTTTCTTTACTTGTCGTTAAGCGAAAAGCTATACAATGAAATATCTGCGCTGTGCTCATTCCTGGTATTAAACTCCGAGTTATAGCGTTATAAGCCCCCAAGTTTCCTGCTAAGCCGCCAGGGGCAGAACTGTTATTTTGTTAGCGTAAAGCTACACGTTTGTTTGTTTTAGAGCAAAGCCACATTGGGCTATCTGCTGTGTCAATCACGGGGAATTCAACCACGGGTTTTGGCGTTATAAATCAGTAAATATACCGCTATCCCACCGGAGGACAAAGCTACACAATGGGCTATCGCAACTCTGCACCACAATGGAGAATCAAACCTCGAATTATAGCGTTTTAAGTCCGCAAACTTACCGCTGACCCATAGTTGATAGCTTTGTATCTAGATGTCAAATTATGACCCAAAATAGACCAGTAAGAGTTTTATATTTTCCATATTAAGGGTATCTGTCGGGTGAATAAATTGGTCTGAAGACGTGTAAGTCAAGTTCACTAAAGGTACTGCCGGTAAAAAAAGGCACATTTTCATGTGGTTAAAATGAGGAATAGTGTGTAATAATAATTTTTATTGTAGTTGTAGATACTGTGGTCATTACTAAAATTTGACTGTTATTTGGATAGTGAACGTTTTTTTTCATTGATACTAGTATTTTCAGCCTTAACGAAACCTTATGGGCTAAACAACCAGGTCAGAAACCCCTAGGATTCAGATACAGCTGTCCTTATCTGACCAGAGGGAAGACAACTAATCAGTAGCATCCGTTGACTAAAGGATTTTGTTCTTTTTCAGCCAAATAGCGGGAATAACTGTCACTTTTATAACATACCCGCAACAAACGGTATGGAAAACGTTCAGCAGTATCACTGTACGAACTCTGTATCTATGGTATACAGGCCAGTACGAAAACGTTCTGCAGTATCACTGTACGAACTCTGTATCTATGGTATACAGGCCAGTACGAAAACGTTCTGCAGTATCACTGTACGAACTCTGTATCTATGGTATACAGGCCAGTACGTTAACCAGTAGGCCACATCTAGTTCAGATTTGTTCAAATCAATTTAATTTAAGAATAGCTGTTCTTTCTAGCTCTATAACTCAATAAAAATTATTATTTTCAGGACATCAATACCTCATTCTATAAGATATCAATTGTTCCATCTATACTATCAATGGATCTGACGCCTATATTTATTTCAGATTTCCGGTCTTACCACTTGTAAGTTCAATAAAAAGTTCAAGCTTCATATAAACGTGACAGATTACTTAGCTAGTAAATTAAAATTCGACAGATATGCAAACATAAACTTTTATCACATAATAAAATGAGGAGATAAAGGTCTAAAAACCCATAGAGGTTTTTAACAAGGAAGCATTTCTTGTTCGCTAACTTAAAACCCTTAACCGAATGAATTATTTATAACTTAACTTCTTAATGTGATTTTATAGCATTTAAGTCTAAGGTGAGAGACTATGAGTTACATACTCCTGTCAACGTGTATTTCATTAAAACTCAAGAAAAAATAATTAATGTTTATAAATGGCTACAAAACGTTTGTTTTATTATTCATTAATTTCTTCATAGTATATGTTACTTGTTTCCTGTAATCATGTATGTATGTGTGTGTGTGTGTGGTGTTGCAGCATGATTCATGATATAACTGTGTGTACGAGAAGATTGTGGATGTATTTTTGTATGTATATGTGTGTGTGTGGTGTTGCAGCATGATTCATGATATAACTGTGTGTACAAGAAGATTGTGGAGGAATTTTTGTAAGTATGTATGTGTGTGTGTGGTGTTGCAGCATGATTCATGATATAACTGTGTGTACAAGAAGATTGTGGAGGTATTTTTGTATGTATGTATGTGTGTGTGTGTGGTGTTGCCGCATGATTCATGATATAACTGTGTGTACGAGAAGATTGTGGATGTATTTTTGTATGTATGTATGTGTGTGTGTGTGGTGTTGCCGCATGATTCATGATATAACTGTGTGTACGAGAAGATTGTGGATGTATTTTTTTAACAAAAAAGCTCAAGTCGTTTCTTTATATCATTGATTGATTGATTATTTTCTTACTCATATAAAAACAGGTGCCATATAAAGTTCTCCTAGGTAATGTTCTACAAGTAAAATATATTTTTCAAAAAGTCATAATCTTGTCCTAGAGACGATCAACCTACAAATAGATTAATGCACGCCATTCTTTACTGGCCTATTACAGTTTCCAGAAAGAAGAATGTGCATCATCATTTCAAGTATATCGTGTTTGTTGCCACTGCTGACGAGGCCTTTCACTCATTATAAAAATTGATATTTAATAAATTTGTAACATAAATTTACATTTTAAAGCGTATTTTAAACATACCTGTAAGGTGATGATGTCGGCAGAGAAATGCCGTATGTCGTCCATGATGGCTTTACGTCTGTACTCCCAGTCCAGCGCCCAGGGCGGACAGTAGCTGTAAATTTGCTGAGACGCGTACTTCGGACACAAGATATTGTAGGACATTACAGTGAAACTACCTGGTTTAAGTAAGATACAAATGTAATTTAAATTACACACACACACACACTCATATGCACAGGCACAATAATAAAACACATATACACATTCACAGTAATAACACAGCTGTGTACGTCTATAAAATTTGTTTTACCTCATTCATGATTGCTTAGCAAAATTATCGAACGGCCAAGGTCGAGATGAATACACGTTTGATTGCAACTTGACTAAATTTTAAACAGGAGTCTTTTATAGAGATTCGTTATTCACCTTGATTCACTTACTTACAGCTGCTATTTTGCTAGGAACAGTCAGGTTTATTTCACCCGTTTTTTTAATTATTTCAGTAGCATTAAACTTTGGAATCGCCTTTAGTTGATAAAAATTTTTGGCGAGTAATTTGGGTTTTCAATCCTTTGGAATCGCCTTTAGTTGATAGCAATTTTTTGCCGGTTATTTAGACTTTCAACTTTGAAAGTTCGAAAAGATAAGAAAATGACTGTGGTCAAATTAGAGTATAATACCCAAATGTGTATTGAAGAAGGAATATTAACTATAATTCCGAATTTATTACGCGTATCTACACGAAATGTGGCAAGCTTTAAGTAAAATATACATCTATTGTACACAAAAAAATCAGATGCGTTGCAAAAAAATTTGTGCTCAAGATATGTCTGTGAAACGACAACGTCAGTCTGACTCAGACTCTGACAAGTCAAGAGTGCAAGGTAATGATCATGTAAAGAATAAGTTTATTTTTGTTTATCGTAGAGCTTGCATGTTGTATTTCCATAACATCTAGAACCTCCGAAATACAAAGCTACAGTTTTTTCAGTATCCCTTTATATTGTATCAGGTATTTACTGTCCTCTGGTACGAACTGTCGCTAATTAGCAGTTTAAAGCAAATGAATAGTTGATAACTCCGACATCAAATACCTAATACCATGTTGAATGGCACTCTGTAAAAGGTCGTGGCGTGTCCACTTTGACCCCACCCGTGCACATAGGGATAATCTGAACTACATTTGATTTCAAAACTAACTTAAATGCAGTTAATGGTAAAGTGTGTCTATGTTCTAATGCTTATTCAAAAACACAGAACACTTGTCACAGTTCGTTACTTCTATTGATTTTACAACTCTAATTACATTATTCCAACTACTACATATATGTGGACCATAGTTGTGCTCTATTTGATAAGTAGCGTAATCTCTCTCTCTATATATATATATACACATAAAACATCTCTCTATATACCTAAGTTTACACAGGAAATAAGTACGATGCACTAAAAGTGAATTACTGTCTAATAAAACAAACAGTTTGTAGTCTTGTATAAATGTTTTTTTTTTTGTTGTTGTTGTTGTTGTCAAAACAGGAGGAAGTAAAAATATTATGCAACGTTTGTTACAAAACTCGTCCCTCGCTGATTTGACAAGGATTATATCGATGCGCAGAGAATATTATGACAAAAAAAACTCATGTTTTTTATTGTTCAATACCTTTTATTTCTTTCATAAATGATTAATTTCTTTTCTATTATTAATGCCAGTTGGAGATATTCGTAATTAAAGTGTTAACATTTAAAAGCCAACACTTGCAACGTATTTCGGTAAAAAAAAACAACTACTGATTTGCTCTGTTTACCAAAGTCCAAGCCTGTAAAACTTCGACTAACGTTCGTTACAATATAAATATCATAAAACTGTAAAATACTTAATTACAAAAACATTTGCCCAATTTATATATATTAGTAATAAAAGTCATTAAGTATAATTTTGATACACAGAAGTAGATAAATACATACACACAGAGATACTGACAGAAGCTCTGCAGGTTAACTGTTGCTCCTTGTACCAGTACCAATAAAGATTTTAAAAATTCTGAATAAGTGAAAAACCTATGAACAAATATTCTTGTTTTTCACAGATATAAAATCCCCCAGTTGACCAATGATCATACTTATTACGTAACGTAATGAGAAAGAGAGAGATAAAGAAAGACACTTTCAACCACAAGCATCTGCTTTCTTCTTTAATTAGGATTAATTGTTGCAAATTTTTAAGCTTCAACTAATAGCCAAACTATGTGCAAAGTTTTACGAGTTTTTCTAACAAGTAAGTAGTGAAACAAAACGTAGTCAAAATCAAAAGTTTACAATTTTAACTTTGCGGATCCTTTCATTATGGAAAAAGAACTCGCTGACACTAGCCTATAACTCCTGGAATTAGTGTTTTTTACTTTTTCTTTTTAAATGTATTATTACAAGCGTTTATCTTTTTGTTCTAGTATATGTAGCTTAAATATCACCAAACAGGTTTCACTTATGGCAAATGTTTGACAAAATTATGCAGTATTAAGATTTAATTTATAATTTCAAACTAATGAATATATATTGTTTTTCATTTTCAGCTCCTGTGCAACACACATTTTCAGTTTCGCTAGTACAACCTAAGATGACTTATTATGAAGTGTAAAGATACTTGGATGTGCACAAAGTTTAGTGGTTGTGCACACTCGTAAAATCACACATAAGTCTCGTATAGGCTAAATCAAGACACAAAATGAAGACTTATGTGAATTGTACCATTTATTTATCCTACTAAAAATTTGATAATCTTAACCTGATAATTAAACTTTAGTGCTAAGTTACGAGAAAATTATTATTGACTTTAACGCGAACAAAATGGCGCACAATGGCTACGGTTGGTTCGCTGGGCCTCTATAAGAATAAAAAATAAATGGAAAAGTACCTTATCATTTAAGAACTTAAATCACATATGATTTTATGTTGCAATTTAGTATACAAAGAATGAAGAACTGGATGTTCTCTTTCAGTTTTTCACGAAATTCTACAACACCAAGCCATGCACAGGTTTAATAATTAGCCACCCGATTTAGTAACGGTGTATTAAACTTATGCATAACACTAAATGAGGCGCTTAACATTGTTTGTACTGTTTCACTAGTGCTAGCTGCTAGAGGTGGTGTAATGGTATGGGGGCAATCCTTTAAAAAAGCTCTTCTGAGACGTTAAGACAACAATCCATACCACTGATATTGTTCTAACTGAGTTAGAATACTACGATTGTAACTTCAGTCATCTTCTTTGCTATCAGCACAGTAACAATATCTCAATCTGACTGAACATCAGTTGTCATGTCGACTTTGGTCTACAATAGAATAAGACACTTTCCGACATCTTGTGGAGTATATTCAAAACCGAGTTCGGGCTGTTATCGGGGCGAAACATAGTCAAACACAGTAACAGCTGGAGGTCCTATTAAAGTGAGTAGACAGTGTAAAAACTCGTTAGCGTTTTTCTTAATTGAGTAATATATCTATTTTAGGGCTAATCGTTGGAATTTTGTAAAAAGTTGTTTAAAGATGAAGTAAATTTCCACTCACATGCAACAAGTGGCTAAACAAATATGTTTATGTTAGAATTTAACATTTTTATCTTTTATATTAATGAGAAAGCATATTTCAAGGTGTTAGGTTAAAGTTCAAGATATAAACTATACTTTCTTCATATAACCATGCCTAATTTGAATACTTTAATTACGATAAACGTTAAATGCCAGTTCCCTCAAGTAATTTAAGCTTTAAGGCTTATTTAATTTTATGCAATAAATTACACGCTTTATTAATTTGTTCATTATAATAAAGATTAGAAACCTCGCTAGTGTCTCTGTTTTTATTATTCGAATGTTAAAACTAAGCTTGATCAGCGAAAGGACTAGATGAGTTCAAAAGGATATGATAATTAAACCTTGTTTATTATAATTTCATAAGTATTCATAAATTCTAGCCTATGATAAAGTAAACCAAATCTCATCTAACAATGTCAACGTATAAGCAACGATAACTCGCCCTCAGCTTTATCAAATATATCCTCATGGTTATATAACAACTGTAGTGAAAGTAACTTTAACCTCTTACCACTACGGTAGTAGTGTTTGCCCTACACACATTTTATACAGCTCAAAACGTACTTACACGGACCGAAACTTTATCATTTGAATGTACACATTCTTAATACTAACATCTACTATACTCTATAGAAAAAATTAGCCCATTTAAGTCTTATTTGAAAACATTTTTTGTGTGTTTGAATGCATACGTCACATCTGACTGAAATTAAAGCCTGATGCGCAGTATTTTTTTCACAACAGCAGAATATGACACCCAGCAATACCGATACAAACCGTTATGGGAATATAAAATAACCCTGACAAAATGATTTACCGGTACAGTGTACCGGAAGTTACATTTTTATCTGTACGCCGTACCGGACTATAGTGTCTCTTACCTTCACCACCGTGCCGTACGCTCTGTGCCACATTTTGGGAACATACATAAGACAGAAATATTAGATCAGTTAACACAAGGAAGATGAGTGTTCTCGTTAATACAAATAACATCTAAACAGGTACAATTTTCTGTAGTCGTACCTTCTCGGTAGAAACGAATACATTTCATGTATTCATTATAGCGTCCATAGATGAAATTGTGTTACTCAAGGAATTTAGCAAGTTCTCTATATATTCTTGTTGCCTAAGTTGTATTTCTGATTCCAAAAAAAAATTATGTTTAAAAAATCCTTAAAGGAGCAGTAAGCCACATTCAGAATAAACGAACAAATTCTGTGCCACATCAGTGGCTCATTTTCTTGTAACTCAGAATAAATAACACTTAAACAGAAATAACTTCCCAAAAGTAGTTAAATAGTCATGCCACCTCATGCAGTAACAGTGTATCATGTACTTTCTGACATCAACTCACATTTTGGGACGTCGTCTGTAGTCACTGCTTTATATGGCGTCATCCATGGCCTAGAAGGTAGTGAGGCATCAGCTGTTAAAAAAATAGAAATAACATGAACTGAGTTTTAATAAGAAAACCACGCTTTTACAAGCTAAAATATACAGATTAATTATAAGAATTTGTATATGGTTATATGCTTAGTCCACTTTAAAAAGGTTTACAACTTTTAGATTGCAGTTAGACTACTGTCTCGTGACGAGCCAAATTGGATCACCTGATGGTCTTGTTCAAAAACACAACTGATTTTGAATACTTTATATACTCATGTAAAGTATATGCCAAATCGACTTCGTAGGCGAAACGCAGTCGTACACACACACATATACATATATATATATTCATGTATTCTTGAAAACGTATTACGTATTTTACCCTACCTAACCAGGCATCAATATTTACACTTCTCAGAAATAACAAGTTAAATGTCATTGCTATTTTTTCTTTACGTTATGGTTGTCCTTTCTCAACCAGCTTCTTTCTTGTATAATTAATCCACTGTTGTAAGCCGTTATGACCGGAACTGCCATTACTTACAGTACATCATTAATCTAACTTGATTGTTAATCTTACCACAATTTCAGAGCACTAAATATGTGGAGGAGAAAAGGTTTAATTATTTTGTTTTATTCCTGTATTACACGATATGGAGGAATATTTTGATCTTTTTTGTCGTTAATTTTTTTATCACACCATATAATACTAAAAAAGGGCAAACAGAATTAAACGTTATCTTACTGTACCGAAATATAAAACATATGCAATGCTTGTTCCCGAAGTGATATTTGAATTTCTATTTTCATAATTAGGTTTTAATTGTGGATTTATTCATGGCTCAGGCCCCCAAACCACGATGCAAGACTTTAAAATAAATAAATAAACAATTGCACTAAAAATAGAACTTACTTTTAATACCTTTCACTTTGAAGCTTAGTTATTTCATTTGTTTTTAGTTAAGCATAAAGCTACACAATGGGCTGTCTGTGCTCTGCCCACCACGGGTATCGAAACCTGGATTTTAGCGGTATAAGTCTACAAATTTACTGCTGTGCCACTGGGGCACTAATTGATTCATCTTTGTTATGTATTACTCCAGCGTCTAATACAGAAATATTTGATTAAAGCCGTGATACATTTTTTCAACGGAACTCATGTCTTACCCCTGGCCACCCAATGGCACAGCGGTATGTCTGCGGACTTACAACGCTAGGAACCGGGTTTCGATACCCATGGTGGGCACAGCACAGATAGCCTATTGTGTAGCTTTGTGCTTAACTTCAAACAAACAAATGTCTTACCCCTGAAACCGCACTCAAAATACCATGTGACTCGTCAAACAATTGTTCTAATCCATTTCCAGTATTTTTCCTTATGATTACCAAGGTGTGACACCATACAGTCACTGAGACTTCGCTTTCTGCATAAAGAGTAAATTTTATGTGATAAGATTATATTTGCCTAAAATTGGAAATTTTAAAACCTTTGCACAATAACTCTACCAAAGGTAAGGGTTAAATACCCTTCTTTTCGCTATTGTTTGTTAAACTATTACAACTGAACTGGAGTATAGCGGCGCAAAAATCAATCTCAATAAACAATTTCATAAGGCTCCCTTGTAAAGCTTAACTATGCAGAGCACGTGACAACACATTATCGATCTCAATAAACGGTTTCATTAGGCTCACTTGTAAAACTTAGCTATGCGGAGCACGTGACAACACATTATCGATCTCAATAAACAGTTTCATTAGGCTCTCTTGTAAAACTTAGCTATGCGGAGCACGTGACAACACATTATCGATCTTAATAAACAGTTTCATTAGGCTCTCTTGTAAAACTTAGCTATGCGGAGCACGTGATAATACACAAGGAGGACCACAGCGAATCTTTTCATCTGAACAATATTATAATTATATGCATGCATTTATATTTATGATATGAGCAAGAACGTACATCCTCGCGCCCACGCGTCGAAATGGACATCCTGTCTCTAAACACAAAATTGTAATGAAACCAGCCAAGGTGTATATACAAATGAATTATTCAACGAATAAAACAACCCGCATGAATACAACAACAATAACAACAGCAGCTTATTTACGAAGACCATCTGGTTATAGATTATAACAGGTTTAATATATTAAACTGGGAGTTTCGGAGATTCCACCAGTTTATTCAAAAGGATAAAGCTCATGTTAATACCAAAAGAAATTGCTATGAATCGAAACTTAGATGAAAAAACTTATTTTGTTTGTAAATTTTCATTACATCTTGTGTAACTCTTTTAAATATATCAGTCCATGCCCTTTGGTGCATTTGTTATCATTTTGTTATATACTTCATTTTAGCTCTTAAAGGGCTAGGCGTGACCTAGTGGTAAGAGAGTGCCTTGACTGTATATCCAAGAGTTCGTAATTAGTGTCCCGTTTTGGTAAAAACCACTCTGAGCACTTTGGAGCCGGGAGTGCGTTATAAGAGTGATGGTCAAATCTTACTATTGGGTCAAACAAGAGTAGCTCAAGAGATGGAAGTGGGTGCTGTTACTTTCCCTCTAATCTATCAGTTCAAAATTATGAGAGATTTTAAACAATCCAAACTGCTGCTTAGTCCTCAAATTACTGACTTGCATGTATACTGTTCATTTCCGGTATGGCTCACATAATGCATCATATCGAGTAATTCTAATTTTTTCCCGGTTACAGTACTCACATCAGCGTAAATAATTGGCCATTACATTGGAAAACATCGCACATAGGAAACCCTAGTAGTAATTAATGGAATTAAATTTAAGGTTGATGATATTTTCATTTAAATATATACCTGTATGTGTGATTCATATGCTATTAGGGATCCTATATCCAATCAAATCATGGCCCTACAAATTACTTATTTATAAAAATGTGTTAAAAATCTGACAGGACACATATGGAACACCCACCGGTAATTCTATGGTTAAGAAAAAAAAAGCAGTATCTGAGATTTAAACTAATGTAACTTATTTTTCTCGAAATAGTTATTTATAATATAATAAAATAAACACATATACAGAAATTGAGCTTCATTTAACAATCTCAACCTTATGAAAAAGAAAGCAGAGAAAAAGATAAGAATTCTAAATAAGCACATGATAAAATGTTAGACAGGATATCGACGTATTTAATCAACCTAAATATTATTAGTGGAAACAGTACTCTTTAAACATGAACAAAAAAAAAGTATTGTGAACTGGATCGCTAAACAACAATTTTTCTTAAGCAGCAAAAAAATCACAACAAAAAACGAAAGACAATAGATTTTAAGTTATTATAGCTCTATTGTATTTCAATAATGAAGTTCTGTCACGGATATATTGTCCGGCAGGTTAACAGCTGGGCTGCTCTGGGCTCTGATAATACATTAAAGAAACACACGTGTTATGCTTACTTCATGGTAACTAGATCCATTGCCGGTTTTAGCAAACCCGAAACTAATCAATCCTTCGACAGGTTGCATCTAGCATGTGGGTTTAGGGGAGTTACCTCCAACAAAATGTTTTAAAAATTGAAGCTCAAAGTAGGTGCTTTAACTGATAATTTTGTACGAAATTAAAATAATGGATATATCTTAATTTTGAAAAATATTTATTGCACCAATGAGGAGCCTCTTAACGCCACATCCCCAAGTAGTCGCTTGTATTGTTTATTCTTAAGGCTGTAGACCGAGAGTGGGGATTACCTGCCAAGCTGTGTATCGAGAGATCCAAAGTTCGAACCGTGTAGTACTGCTGAAAGCTGTGGGAGCCATATAAATGTGAAAGTCATTTCCGATATTTTGTTAAGTGTGTGGAAAGCGGCCGCTACTGATTGGTTGCCTTTCCCTTCACTTGTTGTTAGAAGTTCTAAATTGTGGATAGCTATGTTTGAATTTAGAGTCCTGACCTGGCCATTTATTGTATGTGTCATGTAACTTGCTAAATGCTACAAACCAGCTTAAGAGAATCACTACATTTAAAATATATAACAAATAACAATTCACAACAAAACACGTATGCATAGACCCAACAGATAGCAAAAAACAAGCATGTAAAACATTTATGACAATTTCAAGGTCAGTTCTTATAGCATCACCAGATGAATGCGCTCAAGTTTGTTTTCCTGGAAGAGACTCTCTTTTGTAATACAGAGATGCCTACAGGTGAAACTCTATCACAACAAGACTTCCAGAGATAAGTCAAGATTCGTATGGGTAATCTTAGCAAAAAAATAGATAAAAGAAATTGAAAATAAAAGCTTTAAGATCATTGTCCATAATTTATCAGATACAATCCGTGAAATATTAAAGAAACGCAGGCGTCAAAGTAAAGGTTAAAAACCTACCTTCTTCATAATAATTTAGTTAAAATCCTGGAAATTCAATTATATATCTCGGTCTTCTGTTTATCTATCCAGCAAAAAATGAGGACGATGTTTTCAAATCATTTTGCAACATATTACATCACTCAACTTATGTACGACAGTTTGTGATTGAACATGTGATGTTTTGGGTATACACAATATTTGGTTATAAATACATTTTTAAAGATGGAGACCTCAAGATCCCGGAGGACCAGGAACACAAAAATTCGGGTTGAGAGGCACTGAAAACATTTTTCTGTAACCTATCATTTAAAGGGAGAAACGCCATATATATATAAGGTCAATTCATTGGTCTCCCCGAGTCCGCCTGAGAGGTTTTGTCCTGCTAGCTCCAAACCATGTGGGAGGAGCTCACGGACAAACACACAGCATAAATTAATATGAGATAATACAACGCTACTTGCCCCGTCACAAACTAGTCTTAAATGAATTACACCTTCAAGCTGTTTCAATCAATATCTTATAAACAAATTGAATAGTTCAATGCACGGGACTTTTAAAGCAACTGGTCAAACACGTCTCCATTTGTATAGCGAGTTTTCATTTTCACTGTTATGCAACTTTCCCGCTTTAAAACAAAACACAGTTTATTAAAAACGTACAGAAAGAGCAATTCACCTTTCAAGAAGGCGCTTAGGT